ACAGAAGAGTATAACTGCAGAACGAAGATAAGTCACGGTTGCCACTGCTTTCAAGATTTCAGCCTTGGCTGTGGGCAGTGTCCAGACTGAATGGGGAGCAAGTTTGGCAGTGGACAAGTTGATGTGCTGTCCTCTCACTGTGCTGCCATTTGACCAGCCCGTCTGAGGGTACAGCACAAGGAGACACTACAGAGAGATAAATACTACGGCAACCCTGGGGTTGTCCTGAACAGACGTTTATACTCGAGCATGGAGACTGAGCGGGCACTTTAGGCCTTGTGCCCTGGAATAAACTGTATTAATACAAACGACTAGCATCAGATACCTTTAAATTTGTTGTGACCTTCTTGTACATGCATCTTCTAGCTAGTGTCCTTTCCCTCTTAGAAGGGTAAGAGGTGACAAAACATAGACCCCTAGAATCTGTGAGGAAGCTCAGACATCACGTGTAAGGAAAAAGAGCTGCAGGCTCTCTGCCCAGGACTCCATCCTGTCCTGCAACGGCTGTGAGTCTTGGCTATATTTACTTTATTCTCATGTTTGTGTTTTTTAGAAAAGTGAATGGTCAGTAAATGGCTTAAGTTTTATAATAAAATCATTTGATACTCTTCTGAAGCTTCAACTGAAAAAACTTTTTAGAAAGTATAAAATGGATCCACAAGTAACTTGATTGTCCAAATACAGCCCAATAATCTTTAAAGGAAGACAGCAAAAATCAGACACCCAGCAAATACAATATTCATGAGGTCCATCTTTGAATAATAAATTATAAAACATGTCAGTGAGTGGGAAAATATGACTCATAACCGGTAGAAAAATCAGGCAATAGTAATAGAAACAGCGATGATGGAAGTAGAAGATATGGATGTTAAGAAAGCTATTTTAACTGAGTAAAGAAAAACATGAGTATAATGAGGAGAGAAATGGAAGATAGAAAAGAAAAAACCTTCTAAAGACAAAACATACAATACTGAAATAAAAGTTTCACTGAATGGGATTGATAGTACATTACTGCAGGAAAAAAGATGAGTAAACTTTTGTACATATTAATGGAATCTATCCACAATGAAACAGAGACAAAAAAGATTGAAAACAAAAAGAACATAATCTCAGTGACCTGTGGAACAATATCAAGCAGTCTAACATATATGTAACTGGAGTCCCAGAAAGGGGAGTAGGGA